TATATATATATATATATATATATATATATATATATATATATATATATATATATATATATATATATATATGCCGTTGAGGGGGGAGGCGTCCACAGTCTTACAGGATCATCTTCACCTTTCTCCCACCTGCTAGTGGTCACGTGGCGCCCCCCCCCCTCTGCACCTGAGTGCACGCACGCACGCACCTGTGTGCTCACCTGTACTCGGCCCACTCGACCAAGGGTAGCGTACGTGTGCTGGCGGGTTGACCAGTCCAGCAATGAAGAGCCCTGGTCGACGACCGGGCCGCGGGGACGGTAAGCCCCGAAAACACCTCAAGGTAATCTCAAGGTAAGGAGGGTTTACCCTTACCTTTAACCTTACCTTTTGACCTATAGCAGAGAGAATACCTCTCAACCGAGGTTGTTTTATAACAATAATAACCTGGAGTTGTGAGGTTTAGAAGCTCCTAAGCCCAACGACTTGGGCTGGACGGTAGAGCGACGGTCTCACTTCATGCAGGTCGGTGTTCAATCCCCAACCCACAACTGGTTGGGCACCATTCCTACCTCCCGTCCCATCCCAAATCCTTATATCCTGACCCCTATAGTGTCATATAGTCGTAATGGCTTGGCACCTTTCCCCCTCATAGTTCCTTTCCTATGCTGTGATAAATGTAAACACAGCCGCCTACCATTAGGGAAAGATGTACAGCTTTCGTAAGTGGACATTTAATACTTTGACGAATCGGCTGTGGCCTTCCCCGCCAAACACACACCGAAACTACGACGTTCGTACAACGTTCGAACAAGTTTTAACACCTCCTAACCAGTTATAACAACCAATATAGCAAGTTGTAACAACGTTCTAATACGTCATAAACACGTTAAGCCAAGATGTAACAACTTTATTACAAGTTGTAACAAGCGGAAAATAGACACAGTTACGGTTTGTGTTTCCAGGGAGGTGATCTTGGATTGGCGTTAAAGTGGAGTATTTAAGTCATAGAGTGATTGTATAATTTTGGAGTACGTGTATTCTGGAGTGTCAGTGTTCACTTCAGTTATGTATACGCTCGTTTAACCCTCTCGCCCACGTGGTGGCAAGCGTTACGTAGCCTCGTTACGCTGTAATCGTGTTATATAGTGACGGGTTGTAACAGGTTTGGCTCTTGTCTCCGGCAGGTATGTTGTGGCCAGGGTGAAGCCCACCCCCCCCTTCCCCCAGGGACCGTCACTGTTGCGCGGTGCATCTCTACTGTTGCAGGTCAGGTGGAAGCTGTGTTGACCTGTTGATGAGGTCACGTGACATCTTCATCTCACAATCTTCACAACATCTCGTGTGACAACACCAACACGTGCTGGCAACACTGTGACAACATCAACACGTGCTGGCAACACTGTGACAACACGTGCTGGCAACACTGTGACAACACGTGTTGGCAACACTGTGACAACACGTGCTGGCAACACTGACCGTGAGAGAGAAGCAGGTGACGGTGACGTCACTACAGTAGAGAAGGTCGCTGGCCAATCATAAGCCAGGGTGTATCCCATTGGTGGTTGGTGAAGGTGGTTTTATGACTGACCAACCAGGCTGTGATTCATACGTCAGCCGCGTCCAACAGGGCCGCGGGGGGCTGTTGATCCCCGGAAGCCACACTAGGTAGCCCCCCAAGGTAGATAGGTAGGTAGGGTAGATTGGTAGATATCTACGGATGGTTACCTTGGCCGTAATTTGAGGTTACCAGCGGGTTCTTGACGTCAATTAGTGATTAACGTATCGTACCCACGTATTTTGATCCGACCCCCCCCCCCACCCTACAGTCTGGGACAGGAAGCCTGGACTTGTCCGAAGTCTCTCCTCCCTCCCTACGGCAACTACTGACAATAATGGCATGTGTAAACTGGCACATATTGTGTACATAGACCTCTTGAACGCTGCATACACTTGAGGGGTTGGGTATAGCGCACTTCAGCGACGAGAATCTTACAAGGGATGCACACAGGTTCTACCTGGATTGTACCTGGATGAGGGTCTGAGAGTTGTTCTACTCCCCAAGCCTGGTCCCGGGCCAGGCTTGGTATGTGAGAGTTTGGTCTGACAGGCTTGGAGCGGCCCGCAGACCTACATAGCCACTAGGGAGAGAGAGAGGGAGGGAGGGAGAGTGAATGTGAGTGTGAGTGAGTGAGTGAACATCAGGCTACCTACGAATAATGTGATGAGTATCTAGAAAATACCCACTGAAGAGTATGGGGGTGCCATGGGCCCCCACTGAAGAGTATGGGGGTGCCATGGGCCCCCACTGAAGAGTGTGGGGGTGCCATGGGCCCCACTGAAGAGTGTGGGGGTGCCATGGGCCCCCACTGAAGAGTGTGGGGGTGCCATGGGCCCCACTGAAGAGGTGTGGGGGTGCCATGGGCCCCACTGAAGAGTGTGGGGGTGCCATGGGCCCCCACTGAAGAGTGTGGGGGTGCCATGGGCCCCCACTGAAGAGTGTTGGGGTGCCATGGGCCCCCACTGAAGAGTGTGAGGTGCCATGGGTGCCACTCCTCACCCTGGCCACAACAGTGCCAGCAGAAGACCACTTAAACACACCACAGATAAAACAGAGGCAAACATTAGATTAATGTGTGTTTACATAGCGCCAATGACCCCGTTTGAGGCGGCTAGACATGTGCTCGCTTTATTTACCCACTCTGATAACGTGTTCACAACACGCATTCATTAACAACCAGTAACAAGACGCTTTCGTTAACAGCCAATCACGACTTCAATTTCTTCCATCGCCACGAAGATTCACCGAATATAAACTGGTTTTCCTTGTGCAAAAATCAGTGCAATTACAGCTTTCATTTCACGCCAGTTTACAACGACAACAATTTGGTTATGCCATGGGGGGCCAGAATTGAAGGTCAACCCAATGGTTGATACCTGGTTGATGGGGTTCTGGGAGTTCTTCTACTCCCCAAGCCCGGCCCGAGGCCAGGCTTGACTTGTGAGAGTCTGATCCACCAGGCTGTTGCTTGGAGCGGCACGCAGGCCCACATACCCACCACAGCCCGGTTGGTCCGGCACTCCTTGGAGGAAACAATCTAGTTTCCTCTTGAAGATGTCCACGGTTGTTCCGGCAATATTTCTGTTGCTTGCTGGGAGGGTGTTGAACAACCGCGGACCTCTGATGTTTATACAGTGTTCTCTGATTGTGTCTATGGCACCTCTGCTCTTCACTGGTTATATTCTGCATTTTCTTCCATATCGTTCACTCCAGTACGTTGTTATTTACTGTGTAGATTTAGGACCTGGCCCTCCAGTATCTTCCAGGTGTATATTATTTATTATCTCTCTCGTCTCCTTTCTAGTGATGAGTACATTTGGAGGGATTTGAGACGATCCCAATAATTTAGGTGCTTTATCGCGTCTATGCGTGCCGTATATGTTCTCTGTATATGTTCTCCCCCCCCCTGCAGACACGACCCATTCACCTCATCATCCAGCACCCTGCCACCTCACACACACACACCCACACACACACACACACACAACACACACACACACACACACACACACACACACACACACACACCACACACACACACACACACACACACCAACCACAACACAGAATCAGATCCTGCCGCTCAGACACTGATAAGCAAATGATCTCCACAACGAGGGGGAAAAATAAACAGTGAATGTTGACGGGAGGTACACAGAGCTGCCTGGGGAGGGGGGGGGGGATGCTGACTTTGGGGGGGGGCCCCCAGCCATCCTTTTTGGTGAGGGGGGGGGGGAGGGAGTAATAGGTTGAATGAGAAGCAGGGAAGGAATGGAAAGATGGTAGATTGGAGAAATAGTGTGTGTGTGTGTGTGTGTGTACACTCACACTAGTTGTGCTTGCGGGGGTTGAGCTCTGGCTCTTTGGTCCCGCCGTTCAACAGTCAGTCAACAGGTGTACAGGTTCCTGAGCCTACTGGGCTCTATCATATCTATATTTGAAGCTGTGTATGGAGTCAGCCTCCACCACATCACTTCCTAATGCATTCCACCTGTTAACCACTCTGACACTGAAAAAGTTCATTCTAACGTCCAAAAAGTTCTTTCTAACGTGTGTGTGTGTGTGTGTGTGTGTGTGTGTGTGTGTGTGTGTGTGTGTGTGTGTGTGTGTGTGTGTGTGTGTGTGTGTGTGTGTGTAGGTAGATACAACCACAGTAGATGACAAATGTGTCAACAAGTGTTGACAAAAGATAAGCATTTGTACGTATACTTTACCCTAAGGCCAAAAAACTGATTGGCCACATTTCCTTTCACCTAATGCACCTGTTCACCTAGCAGAAATAGGTACCCTGGAGTTAGTCAGCTTCTTGTGGGGTTGCATCCTGGGCTGGGTCAGTATCGACCCTGGGGGAGGCTCTATATAAGTCTTAACGTATATAAATACACTCTGGCTGCCTGTCCCCCGACACAATGAATTATTATTAATAATAATCAAGGTAGGATAACAGCTCTTGCTTGCATTTACACTAGATTGTATTCTTTAGTTTTAGTGAAACGAAAATATGTACGTCAACGATTAGTTTAGTTCAACTAATGGTTTCATCATCATTTTTTTTATATAAATTGTGTTTTTACATTATATCAGCTTTCTAATTATTACCTAAAAGCCTCTCACTTTACACCTAAATGTAATCTTTGATTGACATTGTTCTACACGTGTCTGGTCTAGGCGGTGTTGCTAGGGTTCGAGAGAATTGGTACCAATTAATCTTTCCCTGGAAACACAAACCGAAACTGTCTCTATTTTCCGCTCGTTACAACTTGTAATAAAGTTGTTACATCTTGGCTTAACATGTTTATGACGTATTAGAACGTTGTTACAACTTGCTATATTGGTTGTTATAACTGGTTAAGAGGGGTTAAAACTTGTTCGAACGTTGTACCAACGTCGTAGTTTCGGTGTGTGTTTGGCGGGAATTGTGACTTTGTGACGTCATGGACCATTCTGAAGTCGATTGTGAGAATGGTCCAGGACGGACCGAAACGTCGTCGTCCCTTCACTGTCTACTGTGTGGTTTGGTCTCTTATCTTGAGATGTATCTTGAGATGTTTTCGGGGTTTTTAGTGTCCCCGCGGCCCGGTCCTCGACCAGGCCTCCACCCCCAGGAAGCAGCCCGTGACAGCTGACTAACACCCAGGTACCTATTTTACTGCTAGGTAACAGAGGCATAGGGTGAAAGAAACTCTGCCCATTGTTTCTCGCCGGCGCCCGGGATCGAACCCAGGACCACAGGATCACAAGTCCAGCGAGCTGTCCGCTCGGCCGACCGGCTCCCATATGGTCAACATATTTCAGCCACGTTATTGTGACTCCTCGTCTGCATAACAATATATACTTGATGTCGTTATTGTGGCGTATGTAAAAGGGAGCCGGTCGGTCGAGCAGACAGCACGCTGGACTTGTGATCCTGGGTTCGATCCCAGGCGCCGGCGAGAAACGATAGGCAGAGTTTCTTTCACCCTATGTCCCTGTTACCTAGCAGTAAAATAGGTACCTGGGTGTTAGTCAGCTGTCACGGGCTGCTCCCTGGGGGTGGAGGCCTGGTCGAGGACCGGGCCGCGGGGACACTAAAAGCCCCGAAATCATCTCAAGATAACCTCAAGAAGGTATGTAACTAATGTACATTTTGTGTACACTTTTACATACAATTTTATAACTGTACAACATTGATGAATAAAGTCTTTAATGTGCCGCAGTTCGCTGCAGTTTTAACGCTGTTTACCAAAGCGTAACAAATCCGGTACTTTAGTGAAAATCCAACCCGTTCTCGCAAATTCGTAAAGTCAATATTGACTTATTAAATAAGTGCATAGGTGATATACTAAACATAATAGATACCCTTAAAAAGATTCATAGAAAACACCGACCTTACCTAACCTTGTTAGTATCTTAAGATAAGCATTTTATTGCTTCGTAATTACAATTGTTACTTAACCTATTATAGGCATAGGTTAAGTAATAATTGTAATTACGAAGCAATAAGATGCTTATCTTAACATACTAGCAAGGTTAGGTAAGGTCGGTGTTTTCTATGAATCTTTTTAAGGGTATCTATTATGTTTAGTATATCACCTATGCACTTATTTAATAAGTCAATATTGACTTTACGAATATGCGAGAACGGGTTGCGAAAATCACAAGCATGGTGATGTTTACGTTCTCTGTGACGGGTGAGGTTAGTGGGCTGTCTTGGGCTCGAAGCTCCTGGTTCACACCTTATATGTCGCACTAGGGGGCCTGATAGCTGAGTGGACAGCGCTTCGGGCTCATAGTCCTGAGGTTCAGGGTTCGATCCCCGGTGGAGGTGGAAATAAAAATGGGTAGTTTCTTTTACCCTGATGCCCCCTAGCTGTAAATAGGAACCTGGGAGTTAGACAGCTGCTACGGGCTGCTTCCTGCGAAGGGGGGGGGGTAACAAACAGGAGGACTGGTCGAGGACCGGGCCGCGGGGACGCTAAACCCCGAAAATCATCTCAAGATAACCTCATACCTTGCGTTACCTTGCGTTGATTTCGGGGTTGGTGATCTGGTCAACCAGGCTGTTGGACGTGGCTGCGAGAAGCCTGACGTATGCCATCACAGCCTGGTTGATCAGGCATAATCACCCACAGAGTTCCTGGCTGGAAGAAGCTGATGGGGGGGGGAGTTAGTATATTATCCTCCACACACGCCGCTCCAAGCAACAGCCTGGTGGACCAAACTCTCACAAGTCAAGCCTGGCCTCGGGCCGGGCTTGGGGAGTAGAAGAACTCCCAGAACCCCATCAACCAGGTCACACACACACGTGTATGGGAAATGCACCTTACGACACTGGAAGACAGAAGAGTAAGGGGAGACATGATCACTACCTACAAAATCCTCAGGGGAATTGACCGGGTAGACAAGGATAAACTATTCAACACTGGCGGTACGCGAACAAGGTGGACACAGGTGGAGACTGAGTACCCAAATGAGCCACAGAGACGTTAGAAAGAACTTTTTCAGTGTCAGAGTAGTTAACGGATGGAATGCATTAGGCAGTGATGTGGTGGAGGCTGACTCCATACACAGTTTTAAATGTAGATATGATAGAGCCCAGTAGGCTTAGAAACCTGTACACCAGTTGATTAACGGTTGAGAGGCGGGACCAAAGAGTCAGAGCTCAACCCCCGCAAGCACAAATAGGTGAGTACACACGTAGTCACACACTTACAATTGTAACAAACATATATACATTTTCCTCCGTGGAGAGTGTTGGAGTTGTCGAGGCATCGTGCAGTGTAGTGGGTCACTGAGCACTCCAGGTGACGGTTGGGCTTTAATAACCGCGCTAACTAACATACATACCATACACACACATTTACTTCTGCCCGAAATACTCAGAGCTCAAGGTATGCTCTCTTACGTGCAGTATAGTTGGTTATTGAGTGCTCGACCACACAATGTGACCGATGTGCGTTCACAAAGGTGAAATCCGATTCTGTCAGGAGGCATGGCAGGATGT